CTCTTATATTTTAGCCATTCATATATCAAAATGTTCAGCTCATTTAGGAGATTTATAGCTTTGCTTTTGTAACTGTTACATTTTTCAAAATAGTATTACCAAAAACACATTAAGAGCTCTTTGCTTTCAGGAAAGTTGCTCTGTTTTAGTTTTCTTATGCTAATTTAAATACTTAACATACATTTAGCCCCTAGCTCTATAATTGTCTTTGGCTAGCTTTTTGCTGCATTTAGCTTTTAGCTACCATCCTGCTACTTTTCATTTTAGCTCACCTTTTTTCCCCACTGTTAAGGTTTAGCCTCTGTTTTTCTATTTTTAGCTATCCTTTTGGTACTTATAACTTTTAGCGAACCTTTTGTTTATTTCAGTTTCTAGCTAGCCTTTTACTATTTTTAAACAACTAGGCTATTTGGTTTTTTTTTCTGCTTTTAGCTGGAGTTTCTCTATTTAGCTTTTACACTTTTGTTACTCTTATCTAGTCCTGTTTTAATTTWTGCTTGCTTAACTGTTTTGCTGCATTTCGCTGCAATTTTGACGCTTTGAGTTAGCCCGTTGTTAGTGTTTTGTCTCTTAGCATTTCTGCAGTTTTAGCTTCTTTGGCATTTTAGCGGTCGTTCAGCAGAATTCACACTGCACTTCAAAGAAAAAGTCTCTAGTTGTCGCTAAAATTTCCACTTTCTACATTCATCAGGATGTCAGCATTCATTCTAATTCTTGTCTACGTGTGACCTTTTTGTTTGGAAGATGACAGGCGGAGATTTGCTGCTCTGTGTAAACATGCCTGCTGTCCTCCAGATGGATGCTGCCTCTTTACGCATCCATTACTTGTAATTAGAGGGCAAWAGGGTGAAAACAGAAAAGAACTGACAGAAGAACTCAAATTAAAAAAAAACTTGACGTTGACGCAGAAAAGAATAATAACAGCCCCTAAAAAAACAAAAAGAAGACGTAAAAGCAGAACACAAGTCAGCTGAAGCAGAATCGGTGAAAACAAAAGTCGGCATGTGGTTATTAAGTAGGAGGAGAGGGCTGAAGAAAAGACAAAGAGGAGCATCAACTTGCTGGTAGCTCTGTCCTTTCCGCCTGCTCTTCTTAAAATAGCGTTGATTACAGACCTTTTGTAGACGGCAATAGCTACTTGTTAAAGCRTCGCGTTGAGCAGAGTGCAGCTCTTCTGCCTTCTTTTCCCACTCAGACTCTATCCTTAGCTCCTGTTGTGGCTTCTGTTCCAGCCACAGAGACGCATTTCAAACCAAAGGTCCAATTATTAGAGTGTGTTATTTCACTGATGCCTCTGATGGAAACGCAAGTGTTATAGAGCAGTAATTCAACCTGTAAATGAGGGAAAATTTAGAATTTGAGGTTTTACTTTATTAAATAAATGCCCAGAAAACATGCTATTGTCTTGTTTGAAAGTACCGAAATTTGATGCATAGCTTAAAACAAGTTGTTTTTATTTTTTTTATTATTATAAAGTCCATCAAATAAAAAAGGGATGGTACAGCATGTTAGCGTTGAAGCCAGAGTGACCTATGACCTCTAAAGGCCTGTCATCCTTTAAAAACAGCCGAGGCAGTGTGAAACAAGAAATTATGTTTTATTTGGAGATTAAAAGTTTATTTATACTTTTTGAAAACTGGATATTTTAAATTATTCGATATGACTGAGTTAAATAAAAACAGGATATTGCTTGAAGGAATGGACATCGCATGTCAATTTTTGTTTTTAACTGTGTAACTAAGATGACCATATGATAAGAAGAAGAGAGTTATGGCTGTTTTAGTCAAACCTTGTAAATGGAGAAATTAATATTGATTACTTTCTGAGAGTTCAGGGGTTCACGAGATATTTTGCTCACAGACAAATGAAAACCCACAGATGCGAGCAAAAAAAAAAAACCCACTTCCACCAAAAGAGAAACGTGACCTTATTGGTGTCTAAAACAAGGTGTTGTGAGCACAYGTTTGTAGTTCCTTAAAGCTTTTTGCTGTTAGGTGGTACACATAAATACACATTTTAACACTTCAAACTGTAAAGAGATTTTTCTCAACTTCTTCAGAATCACACTCGGTCTGTTTATAACTGGACTGTATGTGTTGCGCTCATGTCATTGTTATTGTTTTTTTGGGTCCGTCAAATCCTTTTGTGCTCGTGTTTGTGGGGGTGGGTGCCATCAGAGCCGATGAGCCAGTTGTTCTTTCTCGTTTGTTGCGAGGGGCTTCGTTGGACTGCTTGAAAAGTCAAAGTCTCACTTACTCTGTTCCTCTCCCCCTCCATCTGTCCATCAGCAGATCCGTGGTTACTTACTAAGCCTTTAACTCTATTAATATTTGTAAAAAACAACAAAAAAAAAACAAAAAAAAAACGCCTCAGCAGCAAAGGAACAGGATGTTAACACAACTCTAATGATGTCGTGCTCGGAC